TTTATGGCAAACTAAGGCCAATGTTCAGCAGTGGAATTTTCATAGGAAGCAGCAGAAAATCTGTAAAATGAAAACAAAACAGTCTTCTTTTTAAATTATTTTATATTAGTCACATTATAGTGCATCAACTTATCAGAACCGAGACAGTGGGTCAATTCCATTGCAAATATTAAAGCAATAAAACTTGATACCGTATCATATCCATATGAAATACGAGCACGTGGCTGTTCTTAATTTAAAAATAAACAGTAATTTTATAATTATGATATTAAAATCAACACAAGGTGTCAGTCCTGATACTTAATCGTTACGCTTGAAGGAACGGCACACAAACGACGGTTTAAATTTCGAATCTAAATTTAAACCAGATTCGAAATTAGATCATGGACAGTAGTGCTTCTCAAATATATATCTATACAAATAAATAAAATTGAAGGTCTGTTTGTAATGTCAAAATTACGGCTTTTTACTAAATGCATATGAAAGTATATACGATACTTATAACAAAAACACAATTATTAAAATTTGTGTCTGTCTGTCGGTCTGTCTGTCTGTTTGTTCCGGCTAATCTCTGAAACGGCTGGACCGATTTTGACGGGACTTTCACTGGCAGATAGCTGATGTTATAAGGAGTAACTTTTATTTGAGAAAAAGAATTTGGGTTACGCGCAAAAATAAATAAAAACACTAACACACGAGCGAAGTCGCGGGGAACAGCTAACAGAAGTCGGCTGTACAACATTTTTAATTTTAAATTATATATATAGTAAACCCAAATATAAAATTATTTTTAAACATTATAATTTAAAATTTAAAATTTTGTACCGCCGACTTCAATATATGTTATAAAGAATAACCTTGATCAAATTCATATGAGACCACAAGAGACGTACCAGCTTTCAAATAAAAAAAGAATCATCGAAATCGTTTCACCCAGTAAAAAGTTATGAGGTAACACACATAAAAAAACATACGGTCGAATTGAGTACCGTCTCCTTTTTGGAAGTTTGGAAGCAGAAAATCATAAAGAACGCATACTTTTAGGCACACATAGCTAAAATTAGATAATTGTCGGTAGATAATTTTACGTTATTCGAAAAAGATGTAAATAGTTTTTAGCTGTTAGATATATATTAGATGGATTGAAAGCTGTAAAAAGCTGTAGATTTTTGAGGCGAGTATTACACATTGAATTAAACAAATTTTACTGATTTTATGGAGTTTAATTTTAACTTATTTGTAACTTCCGACTTTTCGAGTGGTTTGCAACACCCAAGTTCGCTGGAATTCTGTGCAAGCGTAATCTTTTCCCAGTCAAGCCAACCCATTATATTTATGTAGAGCTGCACTGTAGCGCGACTCTACCACGTATAAAGTTAAAGTTATAGCCTCATAACACGTCCCGCTACTGGGTACAGGCCTCCTCTCGTTTCTGATAAATATTATGTAATGTATAAACCGTTTTAATTATTCATTGTACAATGACATACATTATATAATAAGTTATTGTTGTGTTTGGACACTTAAAAAATAAAACATCATGTGACAACTTGCTCTATCTATCGACGACGAGTGAACTAAACTCGAAAAAGTCCTTATTCACTTGTTTATTACCATGGTTCAGATTCATACGTGAGCATTTGAAAATTATTCCGTCTAACCTTTTATTATATAATCAATAAATTGAATACAAGAAGTTTATACACATTTTTATTGAAGTTTTGGAGTACCTATATCTGAGAACGATACTCCAAAACTCCATACATACACTTCAAACATGTATCGCTTACTGTAATTATATTAATTGACTGACTAGAGCTTGCTACCCAGTATTGTAGGCAGTAGCCTATATTAAAGGTTGAGCGGCAAATACCTTCGTTTTTCATATTATGTGATGCACTTGACGTCACACGTCACAAATCGCTTTTGTTAAGTTAACGAAATAAAGAATCATCTGTTCACCAGATCGACTGATGGCGTAGAGTAGAAAGGGAAATTGGATAGTGAAAGTGGATAGTTATTAAATCTGTGGTACACATATAAAATTATTACTTCGTTCATATTCATAAAAATTCAAATAATATTACGCGCGGACTAAATGTGTCATGACACGTGGTAGAGCCATACTGCAACTATATTACTGGTATAGTTTTAGTACAAATGGGTCGGTTCGACCGGAAAAGGATCATGCTCTCACAGAATACCAGCGTAAAATAGCAGTATAACGCTGCTGTGTTTCGTATGATGAGTGTAGAGAACCGGAGACCCTTTTTACTGGCAAAGAGGGTATTCCATCTTATTCCTCACGGGTAATCAAGTTAGATGTAGTTGTCTATGGGCCACAGCAACCACTTTACCATCAGGTAGACTGAGTGTTCCTTTGTCACTCTTATCCTATAAAAAAATCATGCTTTTTTTCGATATAAAATGGAAGAAAGGAACGTATTTATTTTACAAATACAACATTAACATTAAGAAATATGAAAACAGTATGTGATGTCAAAATTATCTCGCCTTATATCTAAACTAGTAAGCAGACTAAGCTCTGCAGCGAATGCAGTTAAAAAACTGGAAGCCTCACTAGTGGTGATAGACTGAATGGAATAAGAAGTAAATGGTTAAGGATCGTGTTTTATGACATTATTGGGGAGGCCTACGATAATGACAATGACGTAAAACTAAAAACATAAAAAAAAAAACACCTGTGATAGCTGTTTTGTCGAAGAAGGGGAAAACGAGCATGCGGTTCATCTGATGACAATTGACAGGCGTCGCCTATTAACAGCTGCTACACCAGATGTGCAGCTATATTATGGTTCTTGCACGAATGGGTCGGCATATAGCAGCTTAATGCTGCTGTTTTTCGTATGGTGAGTGTTCTCAGGGGTGACAACACATCTGTATTTAGATTCTAGATCGATGATAGATGTAAATAATTATGGGCCACAGCACCACTAACCATCAGGTGGAATTGTGTACTCGTTTGTCACCCTTATTGAGTGTTGCCAGCTTTTGAGTCAGTAGCAGGCTCTACTTGAAGAATATAAACATACAGACATGATGGATGTTCTATTTTGCGGAAGTCTATACGGAACCCCCAAAACCATTAAAAATATCCATTACAAATCCCGCTTTCAAAAGTCTTAAAGGTTTTAAAAAGGCAGACAATAAAAGCCGGGCGTGCCGTTCTTAATTGAGCGGCTGATTGCTAAGAACGAAAGTGTATCGCGAACCGTTAAAATAAAAAAATGACCGTTAATTAAGTGTATTACGACTCAACCTCGCGTCTTTCAAATCATTAGCGCTTAAGCGCCACACTTATTATTTAAAGTAATCGCTTTCTGCATCAGGATTTTTAATAAAAAAGAACTGACATATGCATTTAGAGTTCATCTGATGGTAAGTGGCTACTGCAGCCCATAGGCACTTGCAGCCAACTTCAGACTGAGATTCGTTCTTTATAACGATCGGTTTTATTACATAAGAAGTGCATGTAAAAACAATTTATTATACAAACTATTCATTGAGCAACTTGGATGGCATCAATTTAAAAAAAAAATGTGTGCAGTTCACACGCGGTAGAAGCAAAACCTTTAGAAAACTAAACTTCGAGAGAATTAGATGAATACTCTGCATTCATCTCATTCTCTCGAAGTTTCATCATCATCATCATCAGGAGTAGGATAATTGTAGGTTTTATTGTTAGCAAGTTTAAACATTATTTTACATGTCATTCTACATAATATATTACATTACATACTATACAAAATAAGTTTTCAATTTCATCATCGTAAGTACTGAAATATTTTCTAATCGACAAAGAAGGATGCCCATTTTTCACCTAACTATGTATAGAAATGAAATAAATCTTAAAATTTGGCTACTTGAATTCTTAATTAAATACGCGTATCACAATGTTAAAAGAATCGCAGGAGAAAATATTTTTAACATTTATTTATGCTTATTCTACGTCAAGTTTCTGTGTTTTAAACATTTATTTTATTTAATCAAGTAGTAAGTAAGTATTTCTATATATTCTTATATATATATATATATATGCCTAAACAGTAACATTAATATTTTTGGGCTTCGTAGCGTTTAAATCGTAAAAATGACTACATGACATTATTTTTTAAACTTACAGGAAGTTTTTCTACTATACCTTATAACTATACATAAACGTTTACTATCAGGTTTTTAAATGTATGAAAAGTGGGCATGGTTCTTTCGTCTTTAATCCTTACACAATGATCACATTGATAATCTCCATACATAATTAGGAGACACTATATACTGTAGGTATATTTTATCTCATTCTCTCGCAGACTAAATCCTATAGATGTATATGTTTGTCTCTTTTTAGTGTCGCTTTTTCGTTTCTTCGAGTTTCAAATCAATTCAAAACTTTAAACGTTTGATAAACAGCTGAACTGGTATTTTATTTTCAATACGGGTAAAAGTTAAGTTGTCGGAAAAGAAAACGAAGCTTTTTATTATAGAAACCCGGCACTAGTAATGAGAAAAGACCTGGACACACCAGCAGCAGTGGAACGTGTTTGCTGCAACTAATTTTTTTTTGAATTATGGGTAACCTATCTTAAATTCCTCGGTAGTTTAGGGCTACACGCTGGCCTTAACTTTCATACTACAGGAACAACCTACCATTAAGCTTCAAGCTTAAGCTTGCTTAAGTCAGTGTCACTGGAATTGTTGATTGCAGTTTGAGTGCTGATTTACAACGTGTTCAAAGACTCTCAAAAATGTAGTAGTCAAACGCTGCAGCTATATTATTGTTGTATCATGAATGGGTTGGCCCAACCGGTGAAGGACCATGTATAAAACTTTTACGAGCCGGTGAACAGAACGGAGAATGAGATCAAATAGACTCTTGCATTACTAGAAAAAAAATGCTCTGATCCTTTCTAAGAAAGCAAAGGGCACCAAAAAAGCCATTTTAGCGAAATGTAATTGAATATTAACGAAATAAATTTCGCTCATAGGAACATTCCCACTAAGCAGCGAGACCAAGCGAGTGGGGGCCCTGCGGTACGATAAGGACATCCCATATCCAGCCAACTTCGACGCGAGGACACGCTGGCCCGGATTCATCTCACCCATCGTCGATCAAGGCTGGTGCGGCTCCGATTGGGCTGTGTCTCTAGCCGGCGTTGCTTCTGACAGGTATGATCTTTTAACATATTTAATTCAGATATTCGTTGCATAGGATATGGGGATCCCACTTTGAGTATGATTCTCGAAGTGTCGTAAACTTACTTAGGACAAGTGGTAAAACATTTTGTACAACCGACTTCAAAAAAATAAAATTAGAGCATCATTAATGTAGTTGAAGTTATTTGAATATTGATTATTAAGGGTAATTCAAAAACTACTGGAGAGATCTTAATCAAATTTTATGATTATATGGAACTACATGAAAACCATTAGCTTTAAAAAAAATACAGTCAAATTGAAAGACTCATCCTTTTTGTGAATCCGGTTGAAAAAGACAAGAACTTCCTGCTTGTAGTGTAATTCGACAGATAGCAACAAGCATAAACTACTTATAAATCTTAAATATCTTTAAAATGTTTGACATAAAATGCCCACAACCAATATAACGACTTTTGTAGACGACATTTGTCGATATCATACAGCGCAGCATAGGGCAGTTATTGCAATATTTGCAGCAATATCGTCGTTTATTACAAGCCTGAAATTATTTTGTCCGTTTAGGCGTTAGAACTTGAGATACTGTGGTCTACGATTGTCCGCTAAGTTGAGCTGTCACCAAAATATCGCAAGAACTCCGCAACGTGACGCATAAACATATTGCGTAGAATTTATAAAAAATATTATAAAGAATAATTTTTTAATTACATAACACTGGCAAAAATATAACCCTACGAATCCATAACCAAAGAATCGTTAAAATACGACGAAAAAAAAGGGCGCCAAAATAAATAACTACAGATACAATCAACTTTCTCACCAGGTGTGTTCAAAAGGATATAAAAATAAAATAATAAAAATTAAAGTAAAAGCAGTCCTTGACGTCTGGCGCCAACGCTATCGTTTAACATTCGCAAACGGAGAGTGAAAGTGCCCTCTGCGCCCCATTTAACAGAAAAGAAAACTTTATTTGCACGACTAAAATTAAACAAACCGGCCGGTTCTATATCGTAGCGCCTGATCGCGGACAAAAAAAAACTGGCAGACAGACATAAAAACAATGTGCAACGAATTTATGCACGACTTGATTTAAGATGACGTGAGATAAGATCGGCCTTATGACTCATTTTCATTTCACTGTTGTTGTTGTTTTTTAACTAGCTGTGCCCGGCATGCATTGCAATGCCTTTTTTGTCAGCAATTTGTCAGACACATTCTGTCTCTCTTTATAAATTTACTTTGAACATATTTCCATTTACTTTGAATAAAACAATGAACTATGAACTGGAAATATTCATCATACACAATGTCACGGAAACTTTTTTAATGTAACAAAAATAAAGCTGTGCTGTAGTGATCGTGTAAAGGAATCCAATATCTCATATCATCCCGTGGGTGTGGGAGGGAAGTGGCCTGTTTCACTTCCCTCCAGATGGACAGCAGCATCTTCCTCATAACGACTATTGTAAAAGTTCCATGCGGCTTCCAACCGCCTCCCAAGCGTGGCTACTGTGGCAAATTTCTCTTACTTAAATTCTATTAATTATTTTTATACCTATCTCTATATAACCGTGTAGTGGTGGTATAAGATTATCCACTACCTCACATCGTCCCTTGGGTGTCGAAAGAAGCGACAGAGGGATAATGAAACACAAAATACTAAAAAACTGCGGTTGCAACTAGCTTGCCAAGCGTGGCAGCTATGGCAAAATTCCTTGTTCAGCAGTGGACTTTATAGGCTCTAATGAATGGATGGATACCTTTTATATAGGAGAGGGGACCAACGAGCACGCGGCTCACCCGATGGTAAGCGACTACCGCCGCCCATGAACAACTGCAACACCAGGGGAATTGCAGATGCGTCGCCGGCCTTTTAAAAGGAGTAGGAGAAAGTCCCTAAGTCGTATCGGTCCGGAAAAATCACTGGTTGTAATCGATTCCATAAGGAAGTTGTGCGAGGTAGAAAACTTCTTCTAAATCGCACAGTGGTGGACCGCCAATCATGCAGATGGTATGGATGGTATCGTGAGTTATGTCGCGATGTGCGATAGTGAAATTGAGCGGCTGGGATTATTTCGAACAATTTCTCAGAGCACTCCCCGTGGTAGATGCGATAAATATGCAATATACAAAGCATATATGCAAAGCCAAGCCGATCGTAAAGAACTCGGTCGTCGACGATTGGAACTGCTCTGCTGCTGCTGCTGGAAGAAGCTGGCACTGGGGAGACCTAGCCTAGTATTCCATGTGGGGCTGAACCTGCGCCTTGTAAAGTTGCAAGCGGTGTGCCGGCATGAAATACTGTCCCGCTCTGCTGAGCACGCCATGCTTTTTAGAGGCCAATTTGGCCTTCCCTTCCAAGTGACCACGAAACTGCACATTACTCGATATTTCGATACCGAGGATTACGATACTGGCTAAGGCAACAAGGGGAGTGCCTTGAAACTGAGCAGATACGACAAAGGGGTTCTTTTTAGCTATAAACTCGCAAACTTGTGACTTCTAGGGATTGAACTGGACTAGATTTAGTCGCCCCTAGTCTGAGACTTTGTTCAACAAAGTCTCGACTTCAGACTTAAGTTTTTTCCGGTACTTGGCGACGTTTTTCCGAGAAATATTGGCACGGCCGGTGTATAAAGCATCACCAGTGATGTAGTCTGCATAGCAATGAATGTTACCAGTTAGCAACATATCATTGATATGCAGAAGAAACAGCGTTGGTGATAGCATGCAGCCTTGTGGAACACCACCCTTAATGGGCTTGTAATCGGAGCATGCACCGTCTACTACGACATTGATACTGTGATCTGTAAGAAAACTGGTGATCTAATTGCACAATTTCTCGGGAAGCTCATAGGAAGGAAGCTTCGAAAGAAGCGCTTTATGCCAAACCCGATCGCAGGCCTTCGCTATGTCTAAACTAACTTCCAATGGCCTTGGACTCCACTGCCTTCACCCATCTATGAGTTAGGTAACCTAGAAGATCACCAGCTGAGCGAACTCGACGGAAACCGTACTAGCGGTCACTAATCAGCTGGTAAACATGTCTCTTTACTTAGTGGAAAGAGAGAGAGAAAGAACAACTTTAAGAATTTCTTATATTGACTTCGATTTTTATGAGTAGGTAAGGCCGTTAATGGGTAACATACTGAACTTTTTAAATTATAAATATAATGTTTCCACAGTGATATATAAAATAAAAAATGTAATTGTAATTCCAGTTGTTTGTTTTTAGTTAAAATATATACGACATCCTGTTCTAATTAGGCCATTACGACACCTTTCTCTTTAATAAAGCGTGAAAGTACGTCTTGATTGCTGGTAAATCTTTCTTGCTCTATTTTATAACTTCTCTTGTAGATAAATTTAGATTGCTGGAATGCAAATACCTATAATGTGATAATTAAAATCCAATAAGTATATTATTTAATCCTGGATCTCAATTCTGTTGCACAGCCAAGTGGGTTATCGATCTCAGGATACGGGAATCAGTAAGCAGATACTGATGGCTATATTAAATTACTTAAGAAAGTTTTTGCCATATAAATTTAATTTTTAGCAGACTTAAAAAAAGGAAGAGATAATTTAAAATCAATCATGATTCGACTGTGTTCTTTGTATGTTTGTTTTACGCGATATCTTTGTTTTGCCAATTGAGATTTTTAAGATCTTTTATATTAATTATAGGTCTTTTTTTTTACATTTACAGAAAAATTCCAAATAAATTCAGGGAGGCTAAATAGGGGATGAAGTTTTTAATGTAACTATTTAGGCTACATTGAAATTGTAATGTTCCTTAGTCGACTGAAAGGGTTGAAATATAATTAAAAAAAAATTCAAAGCCGACTTCAAACTTGGGGCTATAATTCTTCTAAACAATATGACTTAGCACCGAATTGAGAATGTGAAATTGTTTGATAATTTTTTTTTTCAAATCGGCTTTTACTTTTTGTTAACAGTTTTTTTATACTCTAGTTAACATACAAACATACACGCCCACGCTCACGCTCAGGCGTTCACATGCTTTAAATATATAAAAAAAATATGAGTATAGATAGAAAATTGTGAAAGAAATAATAGGTGGCTAGCCCATCACCTACACAATCAAAATATTCCATTAGTAACTAATGATTAGTTGCCTTTTACGACATAATAGGCAAGTAACAGATGGCACATTTTTTTTTGGTTATAATTCCCACACAAACATGATACCTTGTAGGTACCAGACCAGACCAGAATAAAATTATATGAATGTTCACTATTGTAGCTTTTAATAAATATTAATTTCTTAATAAAAAGGACAAACCGACTTTAAAATGTAACCATTAGAATGCGGTCTAAATAATTTCATTAATATTTTCATCCCCTATTTTTCGAACCTTCGGGATAAAGTTTTTTCTTTAAATGTATATGGCACTATCCCTGAAGTATTTATTAAAAAAAAAAGAATTGTTTAATTCGGTTAAGCCGTTTAAAAAATATAGATTTTGAATTTAGAACATTCTTGATTATTGAACTCGATTATAGAACGTAGTCATACGTGTGCTCGAAAACTGAAACCATAATAATGCTGCCGTTTTAACAATAACTCTCACGACGTTCCACTCAAGCGGACGCGGACTGTTATCTGTACCATAAAACTAACACCAGTATCAACTTACCCAGATTTATTTCTAAAGCGGTCGTAACATGAGATCTACACATGTAAGAACCTTTTCTTATGCAAAAAAGTTAAGAACACTCGAGCTAAAAATAAACGCACTTCAAAACTCCGCCGTTGTTTGAGTGGTTGGTTCCGACTGCTTGTTTTGTATCAAGCGCCATTTATATGAAGAATATTTTGTAGCATTTCTTGTACTTAAACAGTAAGATTTTGTATTTGACTTCGTATTCATAAACTTTTTTGCTACAAATCTCATATGCACCTCTCTCACACTGCTGTTTCGGATATATTTTCTACAACAATGATTCTTTCTTATTTTTTTTTCTTTAAAACACGTTACCCCCACACTAGGATTTTCTCCTGTGTCGTGGAGGCAGTTTCAAATATAAATTGCACAAGAACAAACATCCAGATCCGGAACAATTATTTGTAGGCCATACAAATACTTGTTCCGTGCGGGATTCGAACCGGCGGGCCCCAGCGCAACAACTGACTGCTAAGCCACTGCGCCACGGAGCCGTCAATTGTGTATTCTTTTAAATATTGAATTAAAATTCTTATTATATACACTTTGAAATTATAAATTCTTTATCTCTATATAATTCTATGAATTTATATTCCATTAGGAATAATTCTATTCATGTCTGTTCCTGTGATCCCAATAATATTGATGGAGATTCCAGACTTAAGCTTTCCAAAATTAAGTGTAATTTCATGGATTCGCGGTTTGCTTAAGCCTCCGTACAAAATAAATATCATATATCTCGTTTACAGTTTTAAACGCCGATAGGTGTCCTTCTGTTCAATAAGATATTTTTGCACCTTAAACACGCCTTAACTCTGAATTAATATTTCCTTTTTTACACAACTAACATCACGGGAATCCTCCCTGAATCTACCCCTAAAAGAGACATTTGTTTTTAAACACATTTTATATACTTATCATGTGTGATACGATCGATGCTTCGAGACAAGCATCGAGGTGATTCCATAAGTGTTTCGTTTGTCTGAATTTGGCAAAAACACTGAAAAGCCTACTCGTAATGTTTGTAACATTATTATTGTACTACAAGCTATTCCCCGCGACTTCGCCCGCGTGTAATTTAGGTTTTTTATTGTTTTGCGCGGAACCCTAATTTTTTCCTAAATAAAAGTAGCCTATGTTACTCCTTATAACATCAGCTATCTACCAGCGAAAGTTTCATCAAAATGGGTCCAGCTGTTTCGGAGATTAGCCGGAACAAACAGACACACAGACAGACAGACAAAATTTTTAAAAATTGTGTTTTTGTTATAAGTAGGGTACCGTGTATACTTTAATATGTATTTAGTGAAAAGCTGTTATTTTGACATTACAAACAGACACTCCAATTTTATTTATTTGTATAGATTCCGTTAGGTGATCCTACGGAGAGTAAAATCTTATGTTAAAACCTAAGACTTTCCGATAATATTCCGATAGGAGATTGGAATCTAAGATATTGTTTTATAGACCGATCCAAAAGAAGCCCTAAACTTATGAAGAATAAACTTTTATTTTTTATTTAACCATTACTTAATACGCCGGTACATTATTATACCTTTCATTGTTAATTGCAATTTCAATTTTCAAGCGCCGATTCACCTTTTTTATTTGATATTTATTTTTTATTTGCTGTGAAGGAAAACATCGTGAGGAAATGTGCACGTCTACAAAATAAACTATTTCAAGGACATGTGAAATCAGCCAACATACAGTGGAACAGCGTAAGCTAATTGGTCCATCTCTTATACCTACCCAGCCGTAGGTCGCACAAATATTGTAAATTTATAGTAGTGAATAACGCCGTAACGTTCCTTATCTGCAATGCCCAGTAACCTAATACACTAATACCAATCTGAACTCATGGGTTCTAGCATAAGCAGAAAGTTACATAGGATCAATTAACAGAACAGTAAAATAAGTTTATTTTTTTAAATACTAGTAATGCTATTAAACATTACTAATATTGAGTTAGAAGTGGTTCACGACAGTAATGGCGGATTCGAACCCACGACCTTTCGAGTTTGTGCTTTCGAGGGCTCGGGTAGTAAACTGCTAGAGGATTTCCTCATTAAATAGTTATAGGTTAAGTTAAGGATAGCTGAGGGCGAACAAAACTCACTCATAATACAGAAATGTCTCCTGAAAGACTTCTTACGGTATTTGGTAGTCAAAAAATCCTTTTTTGTAAATCGGCAGGAGAAAAAACAACGAAAAGTACAGCCTATATACGTCCTGCTGCAGGTTACAGGCCTCACCTTATTTTTTGAGAGGACTATGGGGCAATAACTAGTCTATAACACTACTGCACGTTGACGGACTTCGCACTTTTAACACATGGTAATGCCATGCTGACCGGAGACTTTTTACTGGAAACGAGGCATTCCATCTTAGGTCCTTAGAGGTGACATCGCATCTGCAATTTGATTCTTAAACAAGAATAGACACAGATGTTTATGGGTCACAGCATCCACTTAGCATCAGGTGTGCTCGTTTGTCAGCATTATTCTATATAAAAAAAACTTCACATCTCTATAAAAAGATACTTTATTTCTGAAATCCTCTTCATGTATTCTTTCACTGCCGAGCACGTGGTAAATCAGCACATGAAATTAAAAAAAAATACAATGAAATTGTTAATTGCAATAACGTATACATTAGTGCCGGCTAAATTAACGGCGAGAGGTGCAAACAATAGTCAAATATTTATTAACTATATAACTATTTGACGTATATGCCAAGTACAAATAATAAGGACATTATATCGTTTCCAGATTTGCGATCCAGTCCAACGGAGCAGAGAACATGGTGCTCAGTCCACAAACCCTGTTGTCATGCAACCTGCGCGCCCAACGTGGCTGCCACGGAGGTCACATCGACGTGGCTTGGAACTTCGCTCGAGGTCATGGGTAAGAAAGAGATAACATAAATAACTAAAATGAACACATAAGTGGGTTACTTAGTTATCAAGAGTCACGAAGGACTTTCGATGCCACAAAACACAACAATATATTAGAACAATATATTCCCGATACTTCGAGTATCGGGAATGTAAAAATGTATGCCTTCTCTATCTATAGGGAATACGAGGGCGGCACTGAAAATTTCGAGAATCAAAGAAGTGACACAACACAAACCTTGTGGCAAGACCGAGAATATTTTTTTAAATAAATAAATGGTATTCGATTTTTAAAACCAAGGAGTTTTCAATTAAAAAGATTTTAATATGACAGGAACAGTGGAAATATTCTATTCCCGATACTTTTAGTGCAGCCCTCGTATAATGTTTATTGTTTGTTTTGTTTACATTTGAAACATACAGACCTTTTCAAATGGTAACGGGACATTTGATTTTAGTCCTCAGACGTGATATCTTCATATTGATTGCTAACCGAACACAGATGTATGTGACTATGGGCCACAGTATTCACTTACCTACAAGTGGACTGTGTGCTCGTTTGCCAACCTTACGTCGAATAAAACTTTCTAAAACGTCAAAAAGTTTTTTTTTACTTGATTTTAATACTCTTAAATTTATGTGTTATTTTCGTCCCGCAGGCTAGTTGATGAGAAATGCTTCCCCTACAAGGCGTCAGTCACGCGGTGCCCATTCCGGCCACGGAACACTCTGATCCAAGATGGCTGCACTCCCCTGGTGAAACACCGCAATTTCCGCTACACGGTTGGACCACCCGGCAAGCTGAGCCACGAAAAGGACATCATGTACGACATAATGGAGTCAGGACCTGTACAGGGTGAGTGGTTCAGCTCTTTCATTGCATCGCCACCATGCTGGTTCTATTAAAACACATAATAAAACTTACACAAAATTATTTTAGTTATAAATGTTTGAAAACATATAAGCCCGTTGGGTTTCTTGCTAGTTCTTCCCAGGACAGACGTATTTTTCCAAACAGTAGCAAATAAAAAATTGACTTTCAATAAGTATTATGTATTATATAATAATATTATATTCAATAAAAATCATTCCATTCTATTATTCGTGTTTTGTTGTTTAAATGCGCAACGTAATATTTTGGGTGTTGTGAGTATTGATTAAGGGAAATGCCCCGGAATATCTTGCGGCCTCTTTTGATGATGGTGAAAAGTGCGAGACGTCTGATAACTGCGATTGCTTATATCCCTGCTTGGTGTAGCGATAGACAATACACTCTTTATGGGCTGACAAGGAGGAGGATTATGAAGTGTTGCTCACACATTTACAGTGTACATAGCGCTGTTTCATATTTTGCAAAAAAATAATATTAGTCCTTAGAAAAACCTAGGCAACACGCATCGAACCTATGCTGATTTTTTTTATCCTAGGGATCTTGATCAGGATACTAGGATAAAATTATTAAATTATTATATTGTCATCGGTCTTTGATACGAGTGCAAATTTTCAAGTCAATCGACCATCTACAAGTTTGTTGAAATTACATTAAAAGATTCCGTTACATAGATAGATAGATACACGCGAAGCTAATAAAAGCGTAAATTCTGGAAAAATGGATGTCAGGAAAACAAATTAACAACAATTTTTTTAAGAGCAATCTATGACATTAACTTATATTAGAAAATCCAATACTTTTTATAACACCAACATAAGGACAAACGAACATACAGTCCACCTGGATTGTAAGTAGCTATTGTACTCCATAGACACCTTCAGCCTCCAGACAACATTGAACAAAGAAAGATACAGATGCGTTGTCACCTCTGTGCACTTTGTTGAAATACCTCACAGGTGTACAACCTGTAATTATACTGGCTCTTTATATTTTGGCCGAGGAGCGGCCAACGTTCCCGTGGTAGTTCGCAGCTAATCTATATATACTGATTTTACTTCTGAACTTTGATAGCGCGATTTAGGCTTCCGTGTATTTTCGCTTGAGGCGCGACGACAGCGCCGCCACATCACCCCCCTGCTCAGACCGGAGGTCAATAGTGTAGTCTAGATGTCGACGAATGTGCAAGTGCCAGGGAATTGCCTTGTAGTCTGCGGTGAGTCGAGAAGAAGGCAAGTAATCTGCGAGTGGGCCATGAAGCAAAGGCGAGCATTAACGCTCAGAGCAGTGCCGAAAACTGTAGCGCAGAGATTAGCTCGAAGGAACAGTAAGCATTATTATTCCAGTGCTGCGGTGTACAACCTGTAATTATACTGGCTCTTTATATTTTGGCCGAGGAGCGGCCAACGTTCCCGTGGTAATCTATATATACTGATTTTACTTCTGAACTTTGATAGCGCGATTTAGGCTTCGGTGTATTTTCGCTTGAGGCGCGACGAAAGCGCTGCCACATCACCCCCCTGCTCAGACCGGAGGTCGATAGTACAGTCTAGATGTTGACGAATGTGCAAGTGCCAGGGAATTGCCTTGTAGTCTGCGGTGAGTCGAGAAGAAGGCAAGTAATCTGCGAGAGGGCCATGAAGCAAAGGCGAGTATTAACGCTCAGAGCAGTGCCGAACACTGTAGCGCAAAGATTAGCTCGAAGGAACAGTAAGCATTATTATACCAGTGCTGCGATTAACCTTTGTAAAGCTAGATCATCATAAAGCATCTATCACGAGGAGTGTTCCGAGGACTTGTTCGGACTAATTCCAGCCGCTCAATTTTGCCATCGCACATCGCGACGAAACTCGCTATACCATCCATATCATCTAGATGATTGGCGGACCACCACTGTGCGATTTAGAAGTTTTCTCCCTCGCACAACTTCCTTGTGGAATCGATTACCACCAGCGATTTTTCCGGACCGATAAGACTTAGGGATCGTCAAGATAAGAGCCTACTCCTTTTTAAAAGGCCGGCAACGCATCTGCAATTTCCCTGGTGTTGCAGTTGTTCATGGGCGGCGATAGTTACTTACCATCAGATGAGCCGCATGCTCGTTTGCCCCCTCTCCAAAAAAAAATTAGATGGCTTTCAGAATGTGAAAACTGGACAATAGCTGCGCGGGAGCGAATGAATGGCATACTAGAGGAAGTAGTAGTTTCCGACGGTTGTTGGTTGCGTGTGTTCATATCACGTCGGTTGATCACCATTGTGGCCGTGGAAGGAAAAGGTTCCCGTGGTAGTTCGGAGCTAATCTATATATACTGCTTTACTTCGGAACTTTGATAGCGCGATTTATGCTTTTAAGCAGGAAAGGATCCCAACAACAGTAATCGAATGCTACTTCAAACTACCGATACCGTTACCGTTACAGCCTATTAAAGTCCACTGCTGAACATATGCCTATTCCATAGATTGCCTCATAGGGGGCCATTTGCCATAGTTGCCACACTTAGCAAGCGGGTGGCAACCGCAGTTTTTTATATTTAGTCGGTATTAGGACAACGCTGCTGCCAATCTCCTGATTTGTTTCCCTCTGTCGACAACCATAGGATGATATGGGGTAGTGGATGTTCTTTCTTACCTAGCCAGTGTAAAAAGACGCGACGTAAGAGAATGTACACTACCCAGTAGCCCAGTACTCGTATCATGCCGTGGCCGCTAAAAGAGGCGGCAGAGAGAAATTAAACAAGAGATGGGCATGCAGCATCTTCTTAATAACAACTCAAAATAATATAAAACTACGGTTGTCAACCGGCCTGCCAAACGAGGTAACCATGGCACATATTCGCCCTATAGGCCCTAATATATGAGGGGGCCTATGTTCAGCAGTGGACTTTTTGATAGGCTGTGATAATTTAAATATAATTAATTTTTACAGATTATATATTAACTTATTTTGTATTCCCGACGTTTCGAACACTTTACCTCATCCATGGTCACGAAGGGGACTGAGGTGTTCGACGTCCCAGTGACATAGTTAACCACGGCCACCTCCAGATTAAAACTATTAATTTTTGTCCCGATCTACGCAGTATTTATGGTATGGACACCTCAGTCCCTCCCGTGACCATGGGTGCTGTAATGTGCTCGAAATGTCAGAAATATAAAATAAGTTAATACGCGATAGAATCCGTAAAAACTAGTTTTGTTTAAATGTGTTGTGGTCGCGTAAGTATAAGAAATCATTACGCTCTGATAATGATAATGAAATTGTATAGCATGTATTAGAAATTGATAGTTTCATAAGGTTTCATGAGTAAAGTATACTCATATATTTAAACATCAGCAAATGGACCAAATCATGTTGACAAAATATGTTTGCTTAAAAGCTTTGCACGACGTAAATGAAAGCATTAATTTATGATAGCGCTATATTCTTACCACTCGCTTTCGTGCGTCTGTTCGGGTCGAATTTAGTAATTGATTTTAAAGTAATTTCCGGATGGACTAGAGACTTGAAATTCGCTAAGTTCGATTCCGGATGACAATGAAAGAATAAAAAAATATATAACTATATAAAAGATTACCTCAATCATTATTATCTGAAGAATTCAATTTGCTCACTTCATCTTTATTTTATACTTCACTCTTGTTTGCCCTTGAATAGAAAACTATGCACACGTCGTGAAACGATAAGCTCTTATCGGTCTGTGTTATTTATTGGATGAAATTATTTACAATATAATGGCCGTATGAGGAAGTTCAAGGTCTTTCAGCTAGCTAAGGAGAATGCTATGTGTTTCTCTGTGTGTTATACTTTGAAACTGTGTTATATTTTCTTCGTTGATCTACACCGCCGTGCCTCGGAAAGCACGTAAAGCCGTTGGTCCTGCGCCTGATCTCTCACCGGTCGTATCGGATTACCGTCCCATCGGACTATGAGAGTGAGGGAATAAATAGTGCACCTGTGCTTGCGCATACATTTGCACTACAATCCTGTAGATGACTAGTCTACGTTGAGACTGGCCGCCGTTACCGAATTTCGGTCTGGAGGACATTATTATTTAAAGGATGTAAATAGAAATAATCCAAGCGATGGAAAAAAGATATAATCAAGCTACTCCAGTGTAACGAGTAACTGTGTACACAGTGTGTATCAGTGGTCTGTCACACTGGAAAAATAACTTAATCTTTAAAAGCGAGATGAAAATAATTTACTAAGTGAGGGCTTCTTTCCTTTTTGGAGTCCGTCTGAGTAGACACCACCCCTTTCCTATTTCTGTCGTCAAATAGCAGAGCGTGCAGCGTGCACTGTTGTGGTCCTGTCTGAAGGGTGAAGAGAGAGAGCCAGTGTTATTATAACCTGTGAGTAAGATGGAATACAGATCTTAGTCCTCAGAGTCAGAGGTGACAATATATTTGTAACCTTCTTTGTCTGAAGTTGGCTACAGGTGTTCAAGGCCTGCAGTAAAGAATCAACGAAATTGGTTCACAATTGAAGATATCGTGTAACACATTCAGACAATAGAGTGGAATTGTAAACCTTCTTTATTTGAAGTCACCTCATAAAAAATTCCACCGCTTTTCTATTTATATTTATATTTTTCTGTTTGTTTGTTCTATTCGTATATATTATTGTAAGTTAGAGTTAAAGTTACAGCATATATACGTCCCACTACTGGACACAAGCCTCCTCCCATTTCTGAAAGGGTTTTTTTAGGGTAAGGAAATGTCCGCCGCGCTGCCACAATGCGTGTTGGCGAACTTCACGTGTCTTCGAAATTTTTTTCGTATTTCTCAGACATGCGGGTTTCCTCACGATGTTTTGCTTCACCGTCGAGCATGGTATATAGAAATTATTATAGGAACGTGGATAATATGAATAATTTAATAACAAATGCTTCGATGTAAATGTTAACAATACACCGTTATCTATCTGTCAAGCCAACGGCTTGGTTAAATCTGAACACAACCCTACTATTTGCGTCTTAAGTTGCGGACGACCCAACTATTATCTGTTCCGTGGACGACACTTATGTTTCACTACAGTTTGCTTGCTTACCTATTTTGCTCAAGAGCATGCACCTAATACATAGAGGTATGTAGTTGTTTGGCCTCGGCTTGAGGCTGTATTTCATCAAACATTACATCGCCTAAGTGGCGATCTTACACCGTCACTAGTTTAGCTGTCACTCATTGACCATTCGAGGTACAATTGATTGCATGTCTTAGTCATAGAAACGCCACCGATAAATATACAACATAATCATATATGTTACAGCCAAAACTCATAACCGGCCACTTTAGACTGTAAAATATTAGGCAAAGGTAGTCTTGACTAAGGACGTTTGTCAATACCACTTTTAACTGATTTTAGCAGTCAAAAGTAGTTTTGATAAAGTCGTTGGTCAAATCCACTTTAACTGCAAAAATACTGGGTAATAGTATTTTGACCAAATTACGTCGGTTCAAAGTGGTTTTGACCGACAATGTTAGTCAAAACTTATTTTCACTTATACCTTTTGAATTTCTGAAATTAAAAAGTTCAATTCATTCAATTTTTTTATATCATTATTATGTACGTGGCTTTAGGGTGGCCCAAGGGTCACCCCAGCCGCACCTTAACCTACTGTTACTGATATTGCGAGTTTTGACCGATAGTCTGAACTTTAAATTAGACAACATCACTTTTGACTAAGAACGTTGGTTAAAACGACTTTCGACTACAAAAATCAGTCAAAATTGTTTTTGACAAAGGGCATCGGTCGGTCAATAATATTTTTGAACCAGTACAATAGAATAGATTTTTTTTCAATATCCTCGTAGATTACATGTAATTCTTATTGAAAGTCATTTTTTGTACTTTAACACTGGTTCGGAAAAAACTACTGTCCTGGGAAGAACCAGCAAGAATACACAGCGGGACTTTTTATTATTTATACAATATGAATGATTTTACAAACTATTTCCTATTTTTATTTTAAAAGCTTGAAAGCGACCACCTCATTACCAGGGGTCATCAACCAAGTAAAAGTAAAAGGGGGTCTCCGGTTCTTTGCACTCACCATAAGAACACAACAGCATTAAGCTGCTATTACGCTGGTATTCTGTGACAGCGTGATCCTTCCCTGGTCGAGCCGACCCATTGGTGCTACAACAATAATATAACCGCAGCATGGCCCCACCTAATATGCACGTTATCTGTCTAAACATTCACATTTTTTGCAGCTGTTATGACGGTGTACCAAGATTTCTTCCACTATCGCGACGGCATTTACCGACGTAGCTACCAGGGCAACAACAATTTGAAGGGATACCACAGCGTCCGCATCATTGGATGGGGTGAAGACCGCGGCGACAAGTATTGGGTAAGAAATTTTTCTGCCGACTTCCAAAAAGTAGACGGTACTCAATTCAACTGTATGTTCTTTTTATGTGTGTTACCTCATAACTTTGTACTGGGTGAACCGATTTCGATGATTCTTTTTGTATTTGAAAGCTGATACTTCTCGTGTGGTCCCATATGAATTTGATCAAGGTCAGACCAATAGCTCTTGAGTTATTCTTAATAACTTATATTGAAGTCGGTTGTAAAAAAAATAATTTTAAATTATTAAATTCGTGTATACAGTTATACAGCCTACCGAATAGGAAGCAGATATTCAGAATAGTAGCAGATATTCTCACACCAACACTACATGGTCAAAAACCGCGGCTTTTGTTTTAATTAAGAAATTTAATTTAATTTGAAAAATATCAACAATATGTTTTTTTAATCCACCGTTTCAAAACTCCGAAAACAAATCCGCAAATAAAAAAAAAAAACTATCCTCTTTTTTGTCATTTAAACAATATTCTTAATCAAAAATGAAAAGGATTAAGCCTATAGGGGATCACAGCATATTTTATAATTTAATAAAATTACAAAAAAAATTAAAGTTAATAAATGTGTTGCAAACTCGAGCCGACCACGCTACAGCTAAAGTATGCTTGTAGCGTCAATGGGTCGGCTCGACCGGGGCAGGACAACGCTCTCACAGAATACCAGCGTAAAATAGCAGCTTAACGCTGCTGTGTTTCGTATGTGAGTGTAGACAATCGGACACGTTTACTGGAGACTAGGCATTCCGTCTTAGTCCTCAGAGGTGACAACGTATCTGCATTTTGATTCTTAAACGAGGATAAATGTAGATGTCTGGGGGACGCAGCATGCAATTACCATCAGGTGGACTGTATGCTTGGTTGTCACCCTTATTCTATAAAAAAAATCAGTCTACATAAACGGCACCTGTACAAAGGCGTGTGGTTAATTTGGGTGTCAACCAAATCAATTTTATCATCTTCAACTTTAGGATCAAAGCAATGAAAATATACCTAGTAAAATCATTATGTTACTAATAACATTCCCAATTGTTTTCAGTTGGTAGCTAACAGTTGGGGCCGTCAGTGGGGTGAGAATGGCTACTTCAGAATCGCACGTGGGTCCAACGAGGCCGACATCGAATCCTTCGTGGTGACAGCCCTAAGTGACGTCACCGAGGCCAACCAGAAATAACAGAGGCCTAACATGGAACTGATCACGCCGCTTTGCGTTGTGCAAAAAACGGTGTGGACGAAGAATGGGGTCTTGGTGTTAAATAGTACGAGGAACTTTGGATAGTCGGTGTTTGGAATTTTTTATAGAGATTACTACTGTGTCAATACACAAAATAAAATCGATGTCCGCTGCGTTTTCGATCAAATGTTAAAAAAAAGTTAAAAACTAAGTATCGACTGTGTACAAATGCATTTGGCAAAGTTATGCCTACACTCAATATGAAAATAGACCTAATGATCGTTTCTGAAAATTGGCTACATAGCTTACAAGTTAAGGTGTTACAGATGAATCTTAGTCACTTATTCAAAGTCAAATATAATTTTTCTTTCAATTAAAAAAAATACATACAATTTAAGATATATTACTGAATTAAAAAAAATTCTATATAGTGATTTAATTATAATCTCTTTGCGATGGCGATTTTAATGTGTTATTATAACTAAAAGGTTTGATATAGATATAATGTAGGTATTTAGAATGTTAACGGAGAGTATAGTTAAAATAATTTAAAAAAAAACTATTTTTGGATATATTTTAAAATTTTACTGTTGTATATCGTATTAACAAGAACTATATTCATATATGGATTTACCGCCAAATAATGATTTTAGGATCTCTATGAAAAGTTCAATGCACCAATGAATAATTTATTAGAATGTGTTTCGATTGGTTTACGAATGAGAAAAATGTTTGGGTCAATTAACAAACGTTTACCGTAGTTTGTAATATAATTTGGTTAAAAAATAAGGTGTATGCTGATAGCACGGCAAGTTATAACTTCCCCAAGTTTACCCGCATGGAACCTATTTTTTATTACATCGGCTAAACCATTGATTATACTAATATGTGCTTCGTACTAGAACAGAGACTGCGAGCTAAATACGTGCATCAATACGAGGCTCGTGGCAGGAGATACAAATATTACTATTATTTATTCTGTGGTACAGAGTAGGGTACATTTTTATGGCACAGACTAAGTAAGTTTGAATCCACGGGCGTGCTCCAAACAACTTAGTCTAGACGTGTCTTCTAATACGAGTACATATTACTTCAATGGGCTAAACCCGGTTTTTCCAAATGACTAAACCCAACAGCAAGCTTAGATCATCTGACTTTCTATAATCGTTACCGAATTACCTTAAAGAATAGAAAGCTAATAATGAACATAATATAGGAATGATATATACTATGTAATTAAATTCAACATTCATTTTAATAGTTTTCCATTAGCCTTAACCATTGTAGAACTTGGCTAAGCAAATTGGTCTGAAGAAGTTATTACTTTAAAACATCTCCGTGCGTTTGTGATTGCAGTGAAGGATCTCTTATTGTATTCGACTTTTCATACTTTATTTAAATTGAGGTATTGTATTAAAAAGAAAAATGGAATGAGTAAAAAATTGATTATATTTTTAAGGAAATAAAATAAACGCTTTTTTCAATTCATAATTTTATATTTGTACAGTATTTTTCTCATTTATCTTGTGAATATTTAACTGCCATTGTATTGCTTAGTTTCCGTTCAACTTTACTTGACGCGTGAGACGATTGGCATTCTAGTAAAGTTTAAAATAATTTAAGTTTTAAAAATAAAGTAACACTAAAATAACAATACGTTAAACTAGAAGCAAAACAATAATATAAAAAGAGATAGAAAGAGTCGTATATCTTACGGGAACAATATTTAAAAAAACAAAGATACCAACCCCTCACGCGTCAAGTTAATACGAACAAACATTATTTGAGTGTATTTTAAATTAAACACAAACAAAAAAATCCACTCATCACTAGTCTTAGTTCTGTTATTCACAAAATTAGAATTAAGCAAACTTAAAATATCTCATTACGAAATATATTTAAATTAAATTAGACAATAAAATATATTTTTAGATTTACATTTTCGCGTTATTTATGGAACACACAGATAAGAAAAGCCGTTAAAGACTATGTAGCGATAACTTTACATTTGTCGTATAATTATATCGTTAACAATAATAGTTGATTTGATATATGTGAAAGCAATAACGTAACAATGTATTTATTATATAATAGTACTCATAATATTGTAACTAAGTTAAATAAAATTTACAAAATATTGAACTTGTGTTTTATATCTTACGAGTTACGACTGCGAGTTCAATTTAAAAAATAATCTACATATTCCTATGTACATGTGGTCCTTTAGAGGATTTCGACTAAAGTGATATCTTTCAAATTAATAATATCTATATTAATCAACCTTTAATATAAATAATAACCATTTTGACCAACCACCACAATTAAGCGTTTTACACGCACATACTGCTGCACATATCGCACAGTGAGAACGAAAGCGACTCAATTCAAAAATAGGGGTAAATCGAATTGAATACATGGAACGACTCAACAAAGCATGTTTACTGGCATAGAATGAGTCCTAAATTAAGGACAAAATTCTTATAGCTGAACTCTTTATATATATGACGTTTATAATGTCCTCCAGACCGAATTTCGGCAGGCCAGGATTATAGTGCCCGAGTGTATGCGCAAGCACAGGTGCACTCTCTATTCCCTCACTCTCATAGTAGTGGGACGGTAAACCGACACGACCGGAGAGAGATCAGGCGCAGAACCAACGGCTTAACGTGCTTTCCGAGGCACGGGGGTGAGACACCGCTAACTTCCTGTCTCCGGGCAGCTACTGAGAATTTCTTATAGAAAAACTCAGTAACTGATTTTTTTGGCCCGACCCGGGATCGAACCCGGGAACCTCATCATCAGCAGTCGCACTACTACAACCACTAGACCAACGAGGCAGTCATATATGATGTTTAACATGGTACAAAATAACCTAGTTATATCACAGTCTATAATATTATTCTCACCTTCTTTCTTTTGCAATCAATCGGAGTAACTTTGACAGTCAAATCGCAAAATACTTTTTTATTTTTTTACGTGAACAAAATTTAATGCATAACGTTAAATTTATGTGAACTTAACAAACTTCTTAAACGAACTCTCTGGAAAAAAGAAGCTGTCAAACAAAGTTAATGTCAACAACTTTTCTAAAAGTACCGCGCGCAACTGTTGCCTATTTTCAGTGGTAAACTTTTTAGATAACTATCGTTTTTAGGTAAAATAAATGCTTTACTGAAATTTTTCGAGGGAAATGCTAACAAAGACGGAATATTAACTTTTAATGCTTTTACAGTTGCAGTGCATTGCAGAAATGTTTCGCAAATACTTTCATATTGGTTATTCGATTCCCATGCCCGCGGTGCTAAAGGGTAAAAAGTCCAAAAACAGAGCGGCCTTACCCATCGCGAGGCTCCGGGCGGCAGGTCTTTGCGAGGCCGTTTGTCCTTCGTGAAAAGTATGTGATGCGAAAGTTGGTCTGGTTGTTTGGTGTAGATATTTGTCATGTTTGAGGAGAAATGCTAGCTATACAAATAAATAAAATTTGAGTATTAAAATATTTTACATTAAAAAATTTTAAATATTATCAAATACAGAAATCATAAATAAAATTAATGTTTACGGCTTTTTCTAAGACTAAAATATTTAATTAAAGCAAAATAATCTAATGAATGAGCTACATCATTTTCGACTGAAAGAATAGCAAGTGCTGAAAGACGATCTTCTGTCATCGAATTCCTCAAATATGTTTTAATAATTTTAAGCCTCGAGAAACTCCTTTCTGCAGACGCAACTGTAACAGGTGTGGTAGCAATAATTCTCAGAACTATTTCGATTGTGGGGTAAACTTCAATATTTTTTTTTTCTATTATGTATTTCAGCACCGAGATAATGTCATTGTTTCCTTCCTACACACTACAACATATTCAGTTCTTCGTACAATTCATGTCCATCAATATCACATGAGTCTCCTACTGTCATAGATATTTGCAAGTCGCTGCATTGCTTCAAAAGTTCACTATCACTAATTTCCTTTAATCTTTTTATATTATACATGAAACCAAATATGCTGTCATGATGTTTAAGAGCCTCAAACCTAGGATGGCAGCTTGCGCGCACATTGTCGACAATGACAGAAAAATAGTTTATTTTGAAAGTTTCTTCCGCATTCAGTTCATGAGCTTCATCTTCCCCTTCATAATCAAAATGCCTTTTTTTACGTCGTTTTCTGACTTCTTTGAACTATGTGTCTAGGTGTTGTATAGCTAGATCAAGTGCATGTTTTCGCTTTGCCACATTTTACTTATAACATTTATCTTTGTAAGAATATCATACCATATGACAAGTCAAACTACAAATTCGTAGGTAGTAGTATTTCCTTTTCTATAAAATGGCGTTCACTGTCCAACTGACAATCTGTTGTATTTTCTGCTAAATCCTTTAAAGCATCACATATATCGCTTAGTTGGTATTTAACGGCCTTCACCGATGCTACCCTGCACTCCTATATAGTTTCAGAAAGTGGTTTTAGCGATAACGATTTTATATTATGAGCATTTAAAATAGCCCACCTCTGACTTGAGCCGGCAAACAGATGTACAACCTTTGTAGCAAACCAGAAAAAGATTTAGCTTGGATACAAGACGACGCTGCATCTCCTAGGATGAGATTTCAGCTATGTCTTTCACAATTTAAAAAATAAGCAAGTGGATTAATTTCAAGAATTAGTTTTTGGACACCACTTTTTTCACCACGGATATTGGCACCATAATCATATCCTTGGCCTCAGCAGTTTTGCAATGATGTAGCTAACTGTTCTAATTCTGTGATTATATAATTAGTCTAACTCTCAGCTGTGGTTTTTTCGACGGCTAAGAAACCTATAAAATGTTCTTCAATTTCAGCTGTATTTGTATTAAAAAAATCTTATAATAATTGAAAGTTGCTCAACACGAGAAACGTCGCGTGTACAATCAAGAACAATCGAGTAATATTTATTATTTTTTCAACAATTTGAGTCTTCACTTGACTTGTCATTAATTGTATGAGCTCATTTTGAATACTATTTCCGATATAGTGGTCATTAATCGTCTCATCCTTTACTTGTTTTAGGTGAAGTCTCATCACGGGATCAAATCGGGCTATTAACTTTACTTAATCTATAAAGTTGCTGCTTGTCTCACTCGAATTTGAGTCAGACGTTAATTTTTCTCTAGGACCCCTGAAGACCAAATAGTGAGATGATAAAAAATTTACAATTGCGAGCAATCGTTCTAAAATATCTCTCCAACGTTGTCTTTCTTGTACAATTTGTGACTGGGCCAAGAAGTCAATAGTGGAACAGTTTTTTAAACCATTCTCTAAATTAATCCATTTCAACATACAATCTTTTTGCTGTCGACTAGATTCTTGAGACTAGGTAATCACCCCAGTGTTTCCCATCACACACCTTCACTTGATCCAATCTTTGTATTTTCTAGCCCAAATATTCGACACGAAAAGCTATAAACGGCATCCTTTGTTTGTGAATAAATCGTCCAGAGCCTGTCAAGCTTTTCATCGTTAACTAATATCTTATTAAAATGATATTCACTGACTCACCGTCCATTATCATTTACGGGAAATAAATCAACTTTAACCCGGATCGGACCACTTAATACAATCTCAGTCTACATCAGTAACTGTTATAGGCCACAAAGCGGGGTATTTTTGAGGATTCAGATTTTCCATTCAAGCAGTCATGGATGTACACATAGAATCGGGATCAGATTCGTGTTCTTTACTGAATAGCGTTGACGGCGGCTCCACTGACCTAAGAGAATGATGTAGTTAATTCATCATCATCCTCGTCGTTTTTACTTTATGTCGGCGGCGGCACTCATTATGATGTGAAAGGAATGTTTTCAGCTAGATCAGGATTAGAGTCACTTTCAGTCAATAAATATTTTATAGAGGTTTCTTGATCATCTCTTTTTATATATTTATATTTTCGACAGCTCGTTTCCTTTTTGAACTATCTGACTCAAATTTTCTACCGGCATCACGATCACGCGAACTCATTTTGTAAATCTTGTTTTGTGTCGCACAAACAGTCAGAAACAATTTTTAAGTATCACACAATTTTTTTACACATTTTCAGCTTACTCAATACTTCAAATACTTACTATAATTTAGACTTTTCCAGCTCACTCAATACTTTAAATATTATAAGAATGTAATATTAAATAAAATTTTAAGATATGTACGGTATAGTAATGATTTTGTAATTATTTTGCTTGTATACTGTAAGCAAAATAATTCCAAGGTGACAGGAGTTGACGAACGAAATGAAACACGGGGCTTCCCCGAGCAATAGAGGAGCAGAACATTATATCCCGACTCCCGAGCTGACCTGAGTGCTACTCGTATGCGATTAAAAAAACTGATCTTCCGAGTGTTTCGAGGCGCGATATTCAAGTACTACATAATGAATTATTCAATTATGTTTTGAATGAATTAATTAGTTAAATAACTTTATTTTAATTTACCATTATGTTATAAACTTAATGAGTAATTAAGGATCAAAATCAAAGTTTTAAATAAAAAAAATCTATATTTTTTAAAACTTGCTTGGGCCCCTGCAAGAGCGAGGCCTCGGGCGATTGCCCTGTTCGCCACCCCCTAAGACCGCCACTGTCCAAAAATAACAAAAACAATATATTCATATAATAACAAAAACAATATATTCATATAATAACAAAAACAATACATATACATATAATAACCAAAACAATACTTATACTTAGTAATTTATATAGGGTTAAATTAATAACGAAACGTAATTCTAATGATATTCTATATATTAACGTACAAATACCACATAAACAACACTAAAATGCATCAAAAATTTAATTTTTTTGATGCATTTTAGTGTTGTTAAAAATTGCACGAGGACAAACATCCAGACCCGGAACAATTATTTGTAGGCCATACAAATACTTGTTCTGTGCGGGATTCTAACCCGCGGCCTCCAGCGCAACAACTCATTGCTAAGCCACTGCGCCAAGGAGCCGTCAAATTGCATTCAAGAAGTCCGTCAACAAGGCAGCACTGCCCGTTTGGGCAGTGCTGCCAACTCTTAAAAATATTTAGTGCTAAATCCATGTTTGTAAAATGCCAAAAATATGCTAAAATTTTCGGAATATGATAATGAAAAACGCTAACACGATTTCACATGTTTTATTTTACAAAATGGTACAATATTCATAGACAATAATCAGTCAGTCCGCGATACAAACAAAATATTCAGATCCTCGTCGATATCCTCTTAGTCAGGTGTCATAGGTGGGTCATTTGACCCTATCTTTCGTAATATTGGATGAGATATGTCGTAGAAGTGACAGTATTTGTTTACCCTTTTCAGTCCAAATCTTACGTAAAAATTGCGTGTAATGTTGTTGAAGACAAACTGTTTCTCAGTTTTGTTTTAACCAAGTTAACTTGGCTGAATACACGCTCAATATCAGCGTTATGTGTGGCAACGCAGCAACGTTGTTGCAAATCCAGCCAGTTCCAAGAAGGGATTGTTTCCTGCAGCGTCTTTGAAGTCCAGAACTTCACGCCAAAATTCAATGGTGGATGAAGTACCACTGCATACGATCAATTCATTATGATACAAATTTATCGAATTTTGTTTCATCCGTAGTAAACTCCTGCGCTATTTCTACAATTTCTGGTTTTAAAACTTTCAGCGTTTCTTGTACACAAAACATATTAATTTTCTGTAGTACTGCAAGGTTCCATCTGGTATTGCTTAACTGAGAGATCTTTAGGGGCTTTGATCCAGAGTTCATTGTTTTAAATAAATCTTTGTAGTAAATTTGCCGCTTCGATGAATGACTGAAAACCAGTTATAGGTTTCACGAATAACAAAATTGACATTTCTAGGGAGTGTCTCTTCAGAGACATGTGACATTGCAAGTTGTAAGGTATGGCAGACACATCTAACTAATATTAAATTTTCGTTGCAGTTTTCATTTTTAAGTAATTAATGGACACCGTTGTTAGTTCCTGTCATTACGGAGGCGTTGTCCGTTCCGATGCCAATTAATTTTTTGATGTTCAAATTTAATCCGGAAAGCAATAACTTTAAGGCATTTACTATGCTATTGGCTGTTTCGTCTTCAAAATCGACCAATCCCAATAAGGTAGAAATAATTGTCTACGACTATTTGCTGCAATATCTGTGACGCCTAATAGTTTGCTCGCCGAAACATCTGTATATTCGTCAATTAACAAACACACTGTATTCGTGATCGCCCATGTCGTCTACTAATTCTCGATAAGAATGTGGTGCCAATATGTTCATGATTATATTCGTGATTTTTTTTTATAGGATAGGGTGACAAGCGAGCACACAGTCCACCTGATGGTAAATGGTGGCTGTATCCTCGTTTGCTAATCAAAATGCAGATGCGTTGTCACCCGTGAGGACTAAGATGGAATGCCTCTTTTCCAGTAAAAAATGTCTCCGGTTTTCTACACTCACCATACGAAACACAGCAGTGTTAAGCTGCTATTTTACGCTGGTATTCTATGAGAGCGTGGTCCTTCCCCGGTCGAGCCAACTCATTCGTGCTACAACTATACTACTAATTTAGCTGCACCATGGCTCTACCACGTATAAAATTATATTTATATATTTTGTTATTATAGTAATATATTTTAAAATTATATTTATATATTTTGTTCTATGTAATCGAAGGTCGGCACTATGACTATCGCTGAATGATTTCTTAGACACTTGTGACAAATTGTCAGTGGTTAAAATAGAAGCATGTTCACAAATAAACATAGCTTTCAACCTTTTGAGTGTTTAGATTATTTTGACATGACACTTAGAATACTTAGGCCGTATTCAGTGCTCTCCTGACGGTCAGGACTGACGTCAGTCTGCCGTAGCTATCGCCATAGAAACCATGCGTGCATTCAGAGCAGCACTGACCGCGTCCGCATACGCAATACTGACAGAGACGGTCAGTCGAGCGCGTCGGTGCTGCGTACGTCAGGTGACTGACGCGCTATGCAATGCTTCAGAGCATTTAGTGCGTTGCGGAAGCGGGACTCGAACGGACGTTAGCGTGTACAATCATGTCGAAACATAACATCGACACTGAACGTGTGATAACAGAAGTTCGAATAAGACCACCTTTGTGGGATCTATCTCACGATTTATTCAAAGATAAAGATGCCAAGCTTCAAGCATGGTTTGGAGTGTATAAAGCTCTTTTGCCCGATTTTAATGATTTGTCTGAGAATGATAAAAAAGACTTTGGTAAGTAAAAAAATGTGTTTATTAAAAATATTTTTTATTGAATATACAAGTATCTAAATAATAACAATCAAAATATAGAATCATCTTGCCACGGAATTGCGCCAACTTCAGAAACAAAGTAATTAGCAAATTTATCTCTCAAAACATCACCGGATCTGACAACCGAGATGTTGTTAGTGTTGGTATTATTTTGAAATCCTTCAATAGTTAGCGTATCCTCAAATTTATAGCCATCTCTTTCTCTAATGTAGTTGTGCAAAATACAACAGGTTTTAACAAGTTTAATAGCATTCGGCAGTGAGTGATTTATTGAGCGTTGGAATATTTTAAATTTATTGGACATTATTCCAAACGTCGATTCAATGTACCTTCTCGCCCGACTTAATCTATAATTAAATATTTTCTTTTTATGTGTCATATTGCTGCGAACATAAGGTCTTAAGACTTTATTCGATATTCCAAACGCTCCATCGCCTATTAGCACATATGGCATTGGTTCAGTGGTATTAGGTAATGGCTTAGCACTTGGTAAATTTAGTTCTCCATTATGTAATTTTGTGTACAAACTAGTATTCTTGAAAATTGTTGAATCAGAGTCTGACCCACACGAACCAACATGTATATATGTAAAACGATACTCTGAATCACACATTGCTAGTAGATTGATGGAAAAATGCTTCTTGTAATTTAAAAATAAGCTACCGCTCTTTTCGGGACAAACAATTCTCACGTGTTTGCCATCTAGGCATCCTACACAATTCGGAAAGTTGGCAACCTGCTCAAATCCTGAAGCAATTTTAAGCCAATCTTCAGGGAACCTAGGGAGCGAAAGACATTCACTGTGAAGCACATTCCAAATAGTCAGGCAAACTTCTCGAACAATGAGACAAATAGTTGATTTGCCAAGTTGATAACTGAAATGTAAGTCCGAAAACGTTTGTCCAGTTCTTAAGTACCTGGAACAAAAAACACAATTTTTTTTATTTATTATTTACAGAAAAAAGTGTACAACAAAGATGGAGAACTGCGAGAGATGCTTACATGAGATGCAAAAATTCTATGAAATCTGTGAAATCGGGATCGGAAGGCGGAAAGAGAACCAAATACGTATTTTTCAAACATTTACAGTTTCTTGACAAAAAACATGTTGCCGACACCGAAGATTCTATTGAAGAAAATGAAACAAGAGAAGATACACAACAAGATTCAAATTTAGAGTCTCCAATCAATCCACGTTCTACTGAAACAGTATCCACCAATCCAGAAACCCAACCACAGTGTTCCAGCCAAGTTAGACAAGATTCTTCAAACACAACTAAACAATCTAGCTCTACTCCTAACACAAACCCATCAAGGAAGCGTAAAAACGCAAAAACTAATGAAGACAGCTACTTCGATAAAAACATCTTGGAGTTTTTAACAAAAAACAGCGAAATTATTCAAAATGACGATATGGCATTTTTTTATTCTCTTTTACCTTTAACACGGACATTCGACAATCGTCAAAAAGTTATGTTCCGTACTGCAGTAATGAATAAAGCCCTGGAAATTTGTAACTGCCCTTCGTCTATAACTCCTCTTGCTTCACCAATGTATGCATCTACCTCTCGCCCTGAATCTTCTACTTCCAGCATGAATATAGCATCACCAGAATCTCTACCATCAGGATCTCAAGACATAGTTTTGTATTCAGTTGAAGAACCTTCGTCTCAAAATGTAGTGAGAACTAATCCAAATATCGCACATACATCACAAAATTCGGTAATCACATCTTTGTCTGCTTCCAGCTTCAATATACCATCACCAGGATCTCGAGACATAGTTTTGTATTCAGTTGAAGAACCTTCGTTTCAAAACGTAGTGACAACTAATCGTAATTTCGCTTATACGAGCACATCACAAAATTTGGAAAACCCATCATCTGATTTGTCTCAGTATATTAATTTTAAGCAATGACTGACAATCACATGATACTGATAATACTGATTGCATTCCCTAAATTACTTAACTGATTGTATTACCTAAATTACTTATTAAACTTATTAAACTTAGCACATAAACATGTTTAATTTGCCTATTTCATATTTAAAGGTCTCTAATTTCATATTTAAAAGTACTCTATGTAAGGGTGCCAGCCATTCTACCCATCAATTTTATCCAACAAAAAGAGAAAGCTGACTTTTATGTTGATATTATTAGAAAAATGCACTGATATTGATCAAAGAAATTTGATGAGTGGAATAGCACCCGACTACGAAAATATTTTCGATTTTATCTTACCTCAATGTCACAGCAAGTCTTTCAACGGGTCGTACTGGAATCCTAAACATGTTATGATGTTTAATATGATCCTGAATTCTTGCCAGCAGTTCATCAAAACTTTTTACTGACATCCCAAAATAATCAGAGAATTTTTCATTATAATTTCTAAGTTTTGAAAACAGAGTACTGAATTCTCCTTCAAGTAGCCTGTTAGCAATAACTGGATGTACGTGATATCTTCTTCGTTTTTTTTTCATTCGTAATCGCCTCAAATAGTAAAGAGTAATTAAACAATTTATAAACGGATACATCACGACTATACCCTGCTGTTCCGTACGGTGGTCAGTGGAGCACTGAATGCATAAAGCCGACTGACGGTCAGTGCGTGCGTACGCACTGACCGTCAGTCCCGACCGTCAGGAGAGCACTGAATACGGCCTTACAGTAAGCTTTAGTAGTCATTTTCGACCGGTTGAAGCCAATCTTTAAATTCGGACATCAACTCCCATTCTGAATGATAATATTAATTGTATTTTGGAGTCATTATCAAAATTCTCGTCTTATATCAGTCCACTGTACCACGCACGTATTAATTAACTCATTAACTCGAACTCCTAACAAACAATTAAATCCTCAACACAATAACTGCGAGTAGGTACTGTAAGTCTTATCACATCACAGACCAGAGTAAATAAAAAAAAAAAACATAAAACCTCTGATTCAAGTTTCTTTTTTTCATGTTTTGAATGATCCCGGGAACCCCATGTACAATACATGTGTACTGACTGCCTCATTGGTCTAGTGGTTTTAGTAGTGCGACTGCTGATCATGAGGTCCCGGGTTCGAATCCCGGGTCGGGCCAAAAAATCAGTTATTGAGTTTTTCTATCAAGAAATTCTCAGTAGATGCCCGGAGTCAGGAAGTTGGCGGTGTCTCACCCCCATGCCTCGGAAAGCACGTTAAGTCGTTGGTCCTGCGTTTGATCTCTCTCCGGTCGTGTCGGTTTACCGTCCCATCGGACTATGAGAGTGAGGGAATATAGAGTGCACCTGTGCTTGCGCATACACTCGGGCACTATAATCCTGTCCTGCGCAGATGGCTAGTCTCCGTTGAAACTGGCCGCCGTGACCGAAATTCGGTCTGGAGGACATTATTATTATTATTATTACTACATGTATCCGCCTAGCGCCAAGTAGCGCCGGTGCTACGCTATTTGACGCTAGATGGCAGGATATTTGTTAATATCGATGACACGTGACGTGGGACTACGGTTTTTTTTAGACCAGGAAAATGCTAAAAAATATGCTAGATTGAAAATTTTCATGCTAAATCAGTCGAAAATAACACTGCGTTTGGGTTTTATCGCTCAGCACGAGCCTCCCCTCCACGCTCGAGCGTTCCGTGGCACGTGCGGGGTGTAGTCGCAATGCATTTAAACACACCAGTAGGTGTCTAGCACCTATAATATTTTATTTAAATCAATAGATTGATAAATAAATTGTGTAAATAGATAATTATAAATTGTAGTTATGTATTTAAATAGTTTATCGTAGGTGAATGAATGAAATGGTTGACTGGGAGAGAATGCTCCATGGCATTAAGTCCGCCATATATACAACTTTGTGCATCAAAGATTAAATAAATAAATAAATATAGTATTTAAGATCATTGTTTAATGTTTATAGATAAGTGAGTGTTTAGTTTAGTTGATTTTTTTGTACTGCAATTGTAATATAAATTTAATTTATCGATTTGGGTAGGAAATCGTATGTAAATACCAATTATTTTTTTGCTTTATAGTTCCTGGGTGTTTTTGAAGGCGGTTTTTTATTTAAAAATAATTCTTGTTGTTTTAACAATGCATCTTCGTCATAATTACTAAAAATTTGGGTCTTTCATATTATTAACAAATTCTGGGTAACTTTGACAGTATCAATATTACCCTGTCTTTTTTGCGATCTACCATTTTTACTGTGGGTAACTTTGAAATAAAACTGTAATGTATAAAAAAAATACATAGACGTACGTTTTATATTCGTATCCACTTGACTATGTAAATATGTTTGAAGCATACGTAATGTATGAATGACGTAGGGAAGAGCGGGTAATGGGAGTCGGCGGGCAATGGTGATCACCTATATATCTACAAAACTACACATCCGCGAGTCGCGTAAACGATATCTACGCCCCGCTCGGTGCCTCGCGCTACTATTTGGAACGACTCGTACCAGTAACCACCACAGAGTACATTATATATAGGGGGGTAACCACCACGCGTTTAGGAGTGATAGCTGTGTTTCGTTTTTGCGCCTCGCCGATGTAAGTTTTCGTCGACAGAAAGCTAACGGTAAGTTTCTAATTTCATAATGTATCTAAACGAGACTTTTATGATTAATTAGTCTGATATCCAAAATAGTGATGTATACCTATGCTTACCAAAATAATTTCTATTTTATTTTTATTTCTGACTTTTTTCTCATTAGTGTAGTTGTGTGTAATGGGAGTTAGGTGACCCCTATTGCCCGAAAATGATCACCATTACCCGCAAAGTAATGTAGTATTATGTACCTATAGCCTTAATGTCCTACATGTTATATACTGCCTTTTTTGTTGGAGATGCCGAAAGTACGGGTCAGAATTACTGAAAAGGCTACCTGGTCTACCGATAGTTGGAAAAAGCTGTACAGCTTATTGATGTACAGGGTTATTCCATACGAAAAGCTACTACAACTATGGGTATACCATTTTCAAGTCTACAAAAGAGATGGACCACGTCGTGGACTACATACTATCTTCACTTCTGAAGTTGAAGACGAAATAGCAAATCTGGTCAAAAAGATGGCCAACATTTTTTATGGATGTACCGCTATTCAGATAAGACATGTGGCATTCGAATATGCTGAAAGCTTGAATTTTAAGCACAAATTCAACAAGGCTTCAAGAATGGCTGGACGTGATTAGTTGAATGCATTTATGAGAAGAAATGTATTAGAAAGCCAGAATCAACAAGCATAAACAGAATCACAGCTTTTAATAAATCAGAGGTGCAGTTGTTCTATAACCTGCTAGAAGAACTGATGGATAAGTAAAGATTTGTTCTAAAAAACATCTACAATTGCGATGAAACGGGGATCTCAACTGTACAAACGCCCAAGTGCTCAGATAACGGATGGATTAATGAGAATTTGTTTTTTGAATGGCTTTTGCATTTTAAGCAGTACGCTAAGCCGTATGCGAATGAACCTATCCTGTTGATTTTAGATAACCATGCTAGTCACATATCACTTCCAGCCTACGAATTTTACAAAAACAACCATATTTACGTGTTGTCATTGCCACCACATACATCTCATAGAATGATTAATATCCGAAGTAAACTTTTTGGTTGGGTCAGACATATGTTTTTCCCGAACACAACTTGTCTCGGAGCAGTCTTGTTCCAATGAATCCTCAAGCACCCATTTTATATGGGTTACCAAAAATACATAAAGAACATGTTCCTATTCGTCCAGTTGTCTCATATATAGGTGCACCAGCTTATTTCCTTGCTAAAAAATTAAACTTCCTCCTTCGAGAGAAACCTGAATTCAACCCCACTTACAGCCTAAAAAATGGCTTAGATCTCATTTCCAAAATTAAAGATATTCGTATTCCTCCTAAATCCATATTGTTATCTTTAGACGTTGATAGTCTTTTCACAAATGTCCCATCCCCTGACTGTTTGCGTATACTCGCAGATCTCTTTGATAAATGTCGCCTACATCCCGGGGAAACAAATGATCTTCTTAACTTAACCTCTCTCTGTATGAAACGAAACTATTTAAAGAAAGAAAGAAAGAAAATAAATTTCCGGTTAATAACCGCTTCTATCTACAAAAAGAAGGGTTAGCTATGGGGTCCCCTCTAAGTCCCCTTATGGCGGACATTTTACTTACTTACTTATCTTCACGCACAATCCCTGACGGGGTAGCAAGAGAGAACAGATCGCCAAGTGTCACGATCCTTACAAACCTCTTTCGCTTCTTTCAGATTCATTATCTTCTTCATGCATGCACGTCTAGGTATCCGAGTACTCTTGACCCTACCCTCTTCGAGCAATTCGCTCACATGGTCTTCTAAAGTTAGTCTCAATCTACCTCGACACCATTTAATATTAACTTTCGCGCTATATATTTTCATCACCATTCGGTCTTCACTCATTCGCTCAACGTGCCCAAACCACCGAAGCACGCCCTTATCAATTTTTGTGATAAGGTCATCTTTCAAACCTGCCATATTGCGAATCTCTTCGTTTCGCTTTCGGTCGGCCATGGTAACGCCGCACATTTTACGAAGAGATCGCATTTCCACTGCATTCAACTTACTTTTATGCTTCATCTGGCATACCCAGGTTTCGCTGCCATATAACAAAGTCGGTACCAACACTGCGTTATGTATTGCAAGGCGTGCACTCTTCGTTACGCCTTGCCTTTTGACTAACGCAGTCAGGGCACCATTGACTTTGTTCCCGGCAGCGACACGCCTGTCCACATCTAAATCACATCTTCCATCCCGGCTAAAAGCACTCCCCAAGTATACAATTTCATTTACCTGTTCTAGACATTCCTGATTTACCCATATTTCACACTTTGTTCTCTCTTCGTCCCTTTCAAATACCAGAACCTTAGTTTTATTAGCATTCAAACGGAGACCTTTAATTTCACATTCCTCTTTCATACACGTGACTAATGCCTGCAGTTCTGCCTCTGATGGTGCAATAAGCACTGCATCATCAGCATACAGCAGACAATTTACTTTTATGTCACCCAATTTCACACCCAAACAGCTATCTTTCAGCTTCTGTAAACAGCTGTCGAGATACAGCCAGGAAGACATGACACAACCCTGCTTTACGCCCGTTTGGACGTTAAACATGGGTGACAGGTCATGCCCTACCCGCACACAGGCTTTACAGTCACAGTAAAGAGACTGCACAGCCCTTAGCAATCGACCATCCACACCATACCCCGGCAACAGTTCCTACATTTTTTTCCTTACAACCTTATCAAATGCTCTCTCAAGATCCACAAAATCACAGAAAATCTTCTGGTTAGCAGCCAGAAGCTTTTCCGTGATCATGCGGAGAGAAAACATTTGATCCGTGCATCCTCTTCCAGGTCTAAATCCGCATTGTGCCTCCCATAGAAATCTTTCCGATTTCTCTTGCATCCTACGTGTCAAAACCTTCGAGTAAACTTTACTTGCGAAACTGGTCAAGCTGATCGCCCGATACCACCCGCAGTCAAAAGTGAACCTTTACTTTTAAATAAAGGCACAATGACTGCGGATCGGCAATCATCCGGGACATCCCCTGTTCGCCAGCACAAATTGCACAGCAGATGAAAGTTGTCCCAGAGGCGAGGCCCACCATACTTGACCATTTCAGCAGT